TCCGACAAAATGCACATATGTATTAAATTTCATTCGTATATCTCAAAAACTAACGAAAAAATTTTTATAATCCCTTAAAATTAAACTTCGCCAAAAAAATCGCTGGCTCGAAACCGGTTGTAGACTCATATTATCTTAGGCAAAGTTTTTCAGAACGATCCATAGAATATTTTCCGCATACGCTATTTTATAGAAAAAAAAATCGACCCGCTCTTATATACACATGTATGTATTATTATATATTGTATATGTATGAATTATTTAGACTTTTGACATAATTGAGATATAAGCTATCCTATATTTTAAGATGGATCAATATGTGTGCTAGATTTTTCAAAAATAGGGACAGGACTTTAAGAGTTTACCCCGGACAAAACAGGACGTAATTGTTATACACATATATATATGTATACGTATAAATATTATGCGCTTACTTAATTTTGTTAAGATGCTTTACATATATGTATATAATATATGGAATGTATTAGCTCTGCATATCAACAAACCACCTCAGACGCAACGGTGTTTTTGCTAACAAGTCAGGTAAAGGCACTGGGATCCATAAACCTTAAAGGCACTATCTGTGCAAAGGTTTAACCCATTTTCACACTGTCTGAAGAAGTGCCGAAAAGATTTTTCCTGAGTAAATTTAATTAAAATGATGTAAATGATTTGTGAGATGTATATAAATTAAACCTATTAGAGAGCGGGGCCAAGCCCATTTTTGTAATTTTCAAACCACAGACAAAACTTTCATACTCTCTGCAATAATATAATTAATATAATATATGTAAAAATTACAGCAGCATAAGTCTCGGAATAAAAATCGACCTAAAACTACATGTACTTTTACTGAACTAACAACAAAGTAAAATTTGCTTCACCTAAGAGAATAGCAATGTCGGCCAGCAGTGAATGAATGACGAATATCCCGATAATTTCGAGTGGGCCATCGCGTGCCTGTGCAAGGCAACTAGATTGCTGTGATCGTTTTGCGTATTATTCTTAAAAAGGATTGTGATGTCGTTCGGAGCCAAAGTAAGCTAATTGTGGTACGTCGTGAGCATCCCTGTCTGAAATTACAGTTTGCGTGATTTTCAATTTAACAGTGGAATAGTATCAGAGCCCGTAAGCATTTACAAATTAGATCTCTTAAAGTCTAACGAATAATATTGGAACAAACAAGAAAAAACGTTAACTTCGGCTGCACTGAAGCTGTAATACCTTTCACATGTGAACTTTGCTATAACCACTCCTACTTCCCACATATCATAATTTTTAATTTCATACATGATTCTCTCACTTTACAGTACATATATTAATCAATGAAGTTATCGAAATAAAATCTTGCGCAAGCTTCCCTTAGCCCTACTTTAATCAACGTAATAATCTTCGGCTACTCGGTTCACTTTATACTGTCTTTAAGATAGCTTCGTTTTCATTTTCATTCAGCTGATGGTGTTTCTGGGCCTCCTTTGTCCTTATTTATCAGAGTCAAATGTTGTCTCTTCCACACTTCTAGAAAGATGACCTCGTTCAGACATGCATAATACATAGATAGCAATAAGTAGGGACGTTCTGCGGCGATTAACTTTACCACTTCCACCGGTATTCCTCCAGAGGGAAAGGTGGACGTGAGGGCTCTAGCGTATACTTTGGTGGGTATCTTTCCAGAACATGGGTTGGGAACAGAGTGCTTACGATGTTCTGCATGGCTGCAGCATTTAACTCTGGGATGGACTGTTTCTACCAAGTTTTCTCATTACGATCTTGTATCTGAGACCCCACGGACTTTTGTTTATATCGCTACATAGCTCTTTCCATTTATCTTTCTTTGCCTTTATTATTGCACCTTTCAGCTCAGTTTTCGCAGCTTTATATTCCTTTTGCGCTACCATTCCGTTTCTTCCTCTTCTTCTAGCCTTTGTATTGTATATCGTCGTCTTTAACGCAGGCAAGTTTGTCTCAGATTTTTTATATCGGGGTTGTGTCGTTGGATCCCGGCCTTCTGAAAGTTGTTTGGGATCCTTTATTGGCAACGATAAGTCCTGATCTAGCTGCCATGTGAAGGATTTTGCGTCTCCTCGAATTTGTTGTCGGTGTGTCCCGTTCTGTGGCTTTGAAATCTCCGGCTATGATTTAGTGGCGATTTGTGTGATGAACAGCGCCCTCTATCTCACCGAACTATGCTTGAAATTCTGAGATAGGATCGCTCGGTGTCAGGTAGCAGCTAATTATCGTGATGTTTTCGTTGCTTATCCAGACAAACCCATGTCCTCTCCCGTTGTTTGATTTTTTGAAGATGCTGCTTTCCGTTAGCCATATTACCACTGTTGCGGTGATGTGCTCCAAAGATGGTTCGTCTTGCCCTATCCTGTACTTCTCGCTAATGATTGCTACCTCGATTCCGAATTCCTGCATGAGCTGTGATAGCAAGGAGTCAGGGGTTTTGCTTCTGTGCATTTTACACTACAAAATCTTCATATCTTTATTTGTTCCTTGTTCGGCTATGCTTTTGTTCCACGCAGAGGCAACAGCTCGGTGGGTTTTTCTAATCTTTCCGCTTGTGCCGATTTCCCGCAACGTATGCATAATCCTTGGCCTTTTCTATCGGGCACTTTGCACTCCCATTGTAGGTGACCAAAGTTGAAGCATCTGTAGCATTTTTTACTTCCTTCATGAGCTTCATCCTGCAGCTGATCCATTCTATTTTTTTGTGATCTCGTCATGTCTGCTGTTTATTTTCCTTTTAACTACTACTCTCTGACTGATATTCGACTGGTCTGGATGCAGTCCATTTAGAAAGAGCTGTCACTGCCGTTTAAACATTTGGGGTTTGGTTGCATGTGTCTAGGGATTGAGTTGCGCTTGTGCGTCTTGTATTCCTTTCTGCATTTCTCCAGTTCCGCCGCAGGCTTGCTATAATGATAAAGAGCTCGTCTAGCACGGATACCCGATTTTTCACCTCTGTGCTTATGGTTTTCTGCCTTGAGACTGCCATATTTATCTTTCTAAGGGTGGCGCGACACTTTAGAAGCGCCTAATCTTCTTCTGCTCTCATCTTCAGGATAAACTCCTGCCTTAGAGAGCTGTGTTCATTTGCATCTGTTTGCCTGTTTGCATCTACTAACATAGGAATAGGGGAAGCGGATTCTTCCATGCTGATAGTTTGGATTGCCCTCTCGTTTCCTATCTGAGGCGGTGAGCGCCTTCAAAAGGCATTCAATTCGTCGTCTGTTTGTGATTTTTGGTGTTTCTCTCGTTTGTTTTCATTTGTTTTGTTATTCATGTTCATTTTGTAAAGGTCCCCGCTTCAAGCCGCAATCTCCGTTCGATCATACAATTGCACATTCGGTCCCTGTGGTTATCTATGCATTGCAGGGAGGCCAAACGAGGATTGACCCGAAACCTTTTGGGAGTTCGTGTTCAGAGCTAAGACCAAAGCACTAGTCAAGATTTAAATCAACTGAGCCTGTACCGCTAACCTAATAGCGACGTAGCATCGAACGTACTTGACTACCTTTCATGATTTTGGCGGGACGGAGGCAGCTGTGACATTATCCTGAAATTGCTGCAAGATGTCACTCTTACATACTGAGGTAACAGAATGCCACAGCCGTCAGCCCAAGTTCAACGTTTCCAAATCATTTGTCAAAATCGTAGGCCTACTTCGTTGCTTTATTTGTCTTCTTTGTTGTTTGGATGTTTCAGGCCTTTTAAGCCGAACTCTCCTCTCCTGTCCCTCTTGGTCAGGAGCTGCTTATTGGGTATTCGCAGCTTACCTAAGAACTTAGGTCGTCAACAGTTCGCCAAGCCCGGCTAAACATCAGAATAATAAAAATGCACTATCCAACTTGTAATATGATCTAGTAAACTCAATTAGTAATAAGTACGCATGTACGTGTATATAAAAATTAACTCATGCCAGCGACGTCAGTTGAGTCTGAGAGGATGTTCAGTAACATAAGTCTCGACTAATAATAACGGACCGTAGATCGAGATTAAAACCTAAACATGTGGACATATTGTTATTCTTAAATTAAAATACGTGACTCTTTGCCAAAAATGTTTTTTTTTTATAAATATGTTTTTGCTTGTACTATCGATAGCTACGATCTAACGATGACATACTATAGTACAATAAAGCATTGATTAATATTGAGGATCATTGCATTGTAATTGCAAATTTTATAAATTCAGCACTTATGGCAAGCTTCTATTAAACACTAAAAGTAACCGAGCTGAAACAGTGTAAAATTATCATTTGGGATAAATGCACTATGGCGCATAAAGATGTAAAAAACAACATGAAACTATTTAGCGGCACTCTGTCACTTCTTTAAGGTGATTTTATATAGGAACTTCCCGTTAATTCAGGTTCAACGTACGCTGATGGTTGATTTCATTAGCAATGAAGATCAAACGTTGTCAGTTTGTGGCTTAGATTTGAGTACACCATGTTTTTCCCAAGGACGACTTTATGTGGCATGTTCTCGCCTACTCAAACCATCCGTTGGTTTGTATTCGTTAAAGATGGACTGATCAAAAATATTGTACACTCCATTACCAATTGTAATTTACTAAGTATACTTTAATTGTCTACAATTATTAATTTGTCTTACAATTATAATTAAATTCCCCACACACTTATAGTGTTAGTTGTTTTTAAAACAAGAAAAAACGTTAACTCGATCGATAGCATGAAAACTGAAGGACTAGTTTGTATATATACAGACAGACGGACAGACAGACAGACGGACATGGCTAAATCAACTCAGCTCATCATGCTGATCATTTATGTATATATTTTATAGGGTCTCCGACGTTTCCTTCTGGGTGTTACAAACTTCGTGGCAAACTATATATATAATATCAGGGTATAAATATTTCCTAAAAATAAGGTATATAGCAGAACAACGTTTGTCGGTTCAGCTAGTATAAATATAAAACTGTTCTGTTTGATTGGTATCTTTTGTGTGTGTACATATTGAAACTAACTAAAATTTGAATTTTAATTTCAGGATTGACTCGATCGTGTGATACTGTGCTAATTGCAGAAATGTCCGTCTTGAGATTTCAGCCATCTATTTTATGTAGCGGTCTTTCACAATCTGGTGTCTTATGTCGCTACGACAACTGTTCTCGAAGTTATTTTAATAAAGACTATGAAAGGAACAACGACAGCAATCACAGCAATATAAAAAAAAGAAAGGAATTCATTTATAAATTCTATGTACCATCAGATATCGGTGCTGCTACTGCTCTTATTTCAATATTGGAAGCCTGTAAAGAATGTCCTGATATTGTGTTTCAAATTCAATCAAACGCTTTTCCGAAATCAATTTATGAAAGCCAAGACAAAGTTGATCAACATAATTTCATTCAAAGCGTTCATGTAATAAAACCAAACCAAACTGCAAACATTTCATTCGAGTTCCACGTTCAAGAGGAAGCTTGGCATTATATACATGTAAATTTTTTCAAAGAAAAAAAAAAAATATCAGAAAGATGGAAAACAAAGTTGACTAAGCCATTCGCTCCTCAAAACGAAGAAGTTTTAAATTATTCTATAATGAATTCAACTCAAAGTGGATGTCACCAAGTACAATACGGTTTGGTAATAAATTTTCAAACATCTTTTGACACTTCGCATAAAGAACCGGAAAAGGCAATAATCAATCCAACTTTTACCACGAAGATTGTAAGCGCTGAAATTTTTGACGAAAATATTACCATAGATTTTCTAAACCATGATCCCAAAGAATGGCTACCAAAACGATTTCGAGGTATAGACTTTTATCCACTCTTACGTCAAACATATCGAGAGTTTTTTATGTTTGATTATGACCTTATGCCTGACAAAAATGGCACAGTTCCATTTGTTCTTAATTTAACCGCCGGTATACCTGCTGGCTTTGCTTTTGAGGTTCGTGGTGTACATGACACAGGCGGGACTTTATCTTTCGCTGTATCAATGAAAAAAGAATTAGATAGCGAATCAATTGCATTGAAAAAATTGTTTTCTACCAGTACTGAGAAGGATGCTATTGTAAAAGGAAACGAAAAAATGTTCGGAGTAGGATCTTTGTCCAAAAGCAATAAAACAATATTAGTTTGTATGCACTTATCAGAACCAGGAATTCCAATTTGGCCAGATAAATGCCAGTACGGCCAACAAGTTTTTCCAGCCGCAAGTATTGTAAATAATACTGATTTCAGCACAACTACAGGCGTTGTTCACGTTCCATTTCCAGAAAGAGGAAGATGGTACATTAGCATGGCCTTATATTGCCACGTAAATAAATCGGCACCTCACTTAACGCTAATAGATAGAGTAAAAGACTTTATAAAAACTAATATACATACTTTGGACAAGATAAATCAAACGTGCCCTTGCTTTCCAGAATTGAGGCGATACGTTAGATGTATTGCAAATATTGAATGTTTAAATTCAATGACTAAGGCAGAGACGTTTAAAGTAAAAGATTGCTTAGTGGATCCTAAATGTACTCCTAATTATCTCGATATGATCCTCGATTTTGAAGTGCATCAAAAACTTACCAATAATCAACACTTTGCGTTGGAAAACTGCAACACTTCAGTTGTATTTACGATCTCATCGAATCCCTGTGTTGTTGGCCGTTGTGGACGATATGGTCGTTGCTACCATTACATGTCAGGAGGATTCGTATTTTCTACTTGTGTGTGCTTTAAAGGCTATCGAGGTTGGGATTGTTCTGAGGATAGTGAAGTGCCTTCAAATGTTTCTGTCCTTGCGGCATCTCTTTTACTTTCCCTTAGTAACCTAATTTTTGTACCCAGCATTTACATTGCAATTCGACGTTACTACTACACCGAAGCAACTATTTATTTTTTCGCTATGTTTTTTTCTATATTTTATCATGTTTGTGATTCAGGAGAGGATGAGTACAGTTTTTGTTTAGTAAAAATAGGAGTACTGCAGTTTAGTGATTTTTATTGTGGTCTTCTAGCCATTTGGGTTACTTTAATCGCAATGGCACACATTCGTCAACAATTCGTCTCAATTCTACATATGCTTGGTGCAGTTCTTTTAGCTTTTGGTACTGAACTCAATAAACAGAGTCTTTGGGTATTTTTAGTCCCTGCGCTTACAGGTATATGTCTCATTTCTACCAGTTGGGGTATACGTTGTTACAAAATGCGAAAATGGTATCCATCACCAAAGTTCCTTATAATTTATATGCCCTTAGGCGTGGTACTCGTAATGGTAGGTCTAATCTGCTTTGCTTTCTTGCAAACGAAAAAAAACTACCACATCGTTCATTCAATTTGGCATATGGTAATGGCTCTAAGTATTCTTTGCCTGCTCCCTTCACGAAAGTACTTCATACCAAAGTGCTAGCACTCATCACTGTTAACAAATCTTCTCCTCCAACAGAAACAGAAATAGTGTTTAAAACTATATAACAAAATAAAAATTTGGCAACATTTAAATATACATATGTATGTACATACGAGGTGTGTTCAAAGAAAAAGGGGAATTATGAATATTTTGAAAAGTACTTAATCTCCTTTTAGATATAATACACTTGTGCCAATGCTTTTATCAATCCTCGAAGCATTTCTGAAATGCGCTTTCTTCGATTCTGACTTGATCTCACCAACTGTGGCAAAACGCTTTCCTTTTATTAACACGCTTATATTAGTTTCACTTGTATGTCTGTTTGTAACTCAAAAACTAAACTCAACACGATTACAAAGTATGCGCAAAATGTTTGCATACTTTTTAACACTCTTTTATTAGCTTCATTTCTATGTGTGTCTGTCTGTTTGTAATCAAACTAAACCCAACACGACTACAAAGTATGCGCAAAATATTTGCATACTTTTAGGCATATTTTGACATCTCAAAGGGAACAAATCAACTGAACGGACAACAAAAATTATAATATTTAGGATAAAATTTTTTAATGGCAGATCAAAATATGGAATTTAATAAAAAATAAAAAAGAATTGAATAAATGAGAAGTTAGTATTGCTTAAAATATTTTTATTATCTTACAAGAGACTTAGACTATTCAGGAATTTTTATTATTGAAACTATAGTTTTATGGTAACTGAAATAAGATGCATAAGTTTGAGACTTGACATCCTCTAAATATCTGGAAAATACCGCGTGAATGGTGTTTCCATATTTTGTAGTGGATTCTTGTGGATCAATATTCATTTTCAAATTCAATCTTTCCGAAAGAAAACTTGTCAACCGCTCTGACTTTTTATCAGCGAAGTTGATGTTGAAAACGCCACCGAAGATGAGTGGAAATTTGTTACCACTGATAATCCGATTGAAATACCTATTTGGTCGCCAATAATATAATATCGATTCACAAATCATCAAGCACAAGTTCATACAACTGTGTCTAAAATGATTAATTGAAAAATTTCATTTATATTTTTAGCAAGACACAATTATAAGATGATAGAATTCTGGTAAAAAGAGCCGAGAAAATATGAAATAGAATCGAGTTCATAACGATGAGTCATACCATATATTGGTCATACATTACATACTGTGATACTTCGTCCGAAAATGTACATAGTGTAGATAGCTACAGCTACTATTTATTAAAAAATAATAAAATATAAATAAATATAGTTTAAAAAAACTAAAAAAAAAACGCTTTTAAAGAATATCGAACTAAAAAGTTGAAAATTAATATAGTTTAAAAAAACTAAAGACACACGCTTTTAAAGAATATTGAACGAAAAAGTTGAAAATAATTTTAAAAATTAATTAAAAAAAATAGTATATAAAAAATACTAGTATAATTGAGGAAAAAGCGTGGGGCGTTCGATATACGAAAATTATGGCAAAAAGCGCCCTAAGCCTTTTCCTCAATTATACTAGTATTTTTTTAAGTTAATTTTTAAAATTATTTTCTACTTTTTCGTTCGATATTCTTTAAAAGCGTGTGTCTTTAGTTTTTTTAAACTATATTTATTGGTTCTTCAGTTTTGGGAATAGGAAAAAGTCGAAGGGAGCCAAATATGGTGAATATGGTGGTAGAGGCATGATTACGGTTTTGTTTTTGGCCAAACAATCACGAATTAGCATTGATGTGTGAGCTGGCCATTTAGCAATTTCGGAACAAACTTCGCTGCCACAAGTTTCATACCCAAAACATTCGAGAAAATTGAATGACATGAGCCGATTGATATGCCTCTAACCTTCCCTAGTAATTCGACGATTTTCAACAACAATTTTTTTTACTGTTTAAATGTTTCTTTCGTTTGCTGACATGTGTCGGACCTCCAGGATGCTCATCAGCAAAATTTAATACATATTATTTTATCAATTTCTCTCAAAATTCAAAAATCGAAAAGCACACAAAAACGTAATTAAACTTTTCTGTTTGTTGTCAAAAACAAACTACTTATTGAAATTTGCTCATAATGCAAGGACATGATAAACATACTTGTATGTGTCCGATTGTAACAAAAACAAAATATCATTAATCGAATGTACACATCCAGCGAAAAATCAAAATTCACCTTTTCCTTACAACACACCTCGTATATCTTAAAAGCTAATTGATTGGTTGCTAATTTTTTTTCGATATAAAATATACATACCTATGTATGTACGTAAATATATATTTATTTTTATAAAATCAACAGAATATATTAGAATTTGTCTTATATGTATGTTTACTTATAAATGGAACTATTAAAGAAATCTCGCGCGAATGTTTTTGTCTTCATCATTGCTTTTTTAATTATTGTTGATCCAGCTTGATCCCGATATTGTATGTTTTCATTGAAACAGCAATGCTATGAGCTCAAATGAGATGTTTTGGTGTAACACGTGAAATTTGGAAAGACCCACTTGTAAAATAATATAGGAGTAGAAAGAATTGAAGAGAATTGCTATGTACGATCTTAAGGATATAACAAAAATATACTTGTGCTGCTTTCCTTAAAATATATTATCTTAAGAAAGTAACTGTCACAGGAATAAAAGTCAATATTGGAGACAATTTTATCGTTACATTATAAGCTTCGAAAAAAAACTTTTTTTTTGTATTGTTCTATCTAAGCCCACTTTATACTACCATACTATAAAATGATGTAAGTAATCACGTAGAGTATGACTTATTTATAGGTCATTGACTTACATAACTTCTTTAGTACATTTGGTTTTATATCCGAAATATTTATTAAAATCAACTTAACTAACTCATATTACTATTATATTAGTGCTGTGGGAAAATGCATACGGATATTAAAAATCTTTACTGTCGAATTAATTAATGCTGGTGCTATTAAAAAACATAAAAATATATCGGTATATATTGATACTAAGTGGCAGTAACGCCTGAAAACTTTATGAAAAATTCATGAAACTTTGTTGGGGGACTGCAAAATGTAAGTAGTTGAGTTAGCTAATATAATCTCACAGAAATGCATAGGTTATATCATTCATGCTGAAACAAAGTGTACAAGTTTTGTACACCTAACAGTCGTTTGTGAAATCTAAAACTAATCGAGACAGTTATAGGGTTATATTATATATATTTTCATGATTAAATTGATGAGACGTTCAGTTCCGTGTGAATGTTTGTCCGCCCGTTTATCCGTGAAAGCGATGGGTAGGTACCGTTAGGAGAGCCATTGTGAAACCAAATGGACTAAAGACATAAATTCAACAAGATTTATTTGTGCAACTTCTGGAATATCGCTAAGAAATCCTCCACCGATAGCTCCGATTATTTCTCTATACAAAGCCTTGCGTACAAGATATTCTACAGTTTCTTCTTATTCTACCTCTTGATAGCATCTACAATAATCGTTATACTTGTATGGTATCTCCAGTCTGCTGGCATGTCTGCCAATAAAACTATGACCCAATCATTCCACGTTTGTCTGCTTGTTGAACAAGTCAGGGATAGTTTTCATTAATGCTCAGCTATATCTATAACACGTTTACCGATTAAAGATCTCCGATGATACCCTAAGATACTTTAGCGATCTCAAAGCCGCTTGGCCATCTGTGTATATTGTAAATATATTTCTTGTTGTAAACACACTCTTTATCAGAACGACGAGGCTTTTTTTAATTGGTTTAATTTACTGTCTGATTTGGCGTTGTTTTAAGGGCCTCACTGATATACATACTTGTATATACTTGTTGCTCCTTGTATGCTCTCCATATGTCTTACCACATTTTTCTTTTTCATTATTAAATCCAATAGACCAATGGCCTTACAATTTATGTGTAGAGCCATTAAGTTATGCGAGGCGTTAATTTTCACCATCCCTTTACATTTTTAAAAGACTTCTGCTGCTTTCTTTACCCTAGCATCTAAGTTTGTTTTACATGATACCTTCTTGTCTTAAATTAGTTCCAAGTAACGTATTCTTTCCCTTTGATTGCTTGGTACCATTTATTAATGGCGGCGAAAATTATGAAATTCTTTGTTTCATATTGAAAAATACTGAGATTTCTATTAATCATTACCGCATTTTTAGAATAAATGAGGAAATATTAATTGGTCTAAAATCGTTTGGACCTTTATGAGAGCTTTTGCCAGCGTTTGGTATATACATATATGACCTTGACTTTCCTCCATAACGGGGGAATACAATTTTCCTACAGGTCAGGTCCTGGCGATTTCTATTTTTTTCTGATACTATATCTATAGGAATGTGTCCTCAACAGCATAGCTGCCCGGGAAGTGAGGCTTAAGGACTCTTCACTGGAAACTGTCCGACTATGATCTAAGTTCTGAAGGTACTCAATGCTATGACCAGACTGTGCTATAATTTTCCTTTGACGAGACACTTCTGCTGTAGTCTCGATATCATTACAGATAAATTTCCAATAATATCTTTTTACTTTTCTTATATCTTTTTATATTACATAGAAAGTTGTAATAACCTCCTTCTCCTCTACTTGGGATTGTTTAGCTACATTAAATTGCTCTGAAATCTTTCTGAGAATTTTTCAGTTCGAGGGACCATCGCAGTGGCCTAATTCTTCCCCTATTAAGTGTTATTTAATTCTTAATTCCGATTCTAATATTTGTCTGCAAGATTCCGTGAACCGTTTAACGAGGATGGTTAGGTCCTCTTTGGACCTTAGGATGGATTGGGGGAATACGTATATTTAGCTCTTGAATTTTCACTTGCCAGTTTGCACATATACATTCAATGTAGTGCTGATCCAGAAATTAGTGCTCTTCAAGAGTAGAAGAGTTTCCTAGTAAAACGAAACTCACCTCTTTTGTTTTTGTCTTTGCTCCCCCATAGTGTGTAGTGTGCATTTGAATCGCATCCAAGTTTATCATATTCTTGGATGCCTTACTAGCCTGTGCCAGCTTTTTTTATCAACTGCGGTGGTATTTGTTCCCCGTCGTGCGGCATTTTACCGGACACCAGCAGGTACCTGCTTTCGGCTGTCTTCCAGCTTATTGCTGTTGTGTCCTGGTTGCTATAGTTATGTATCATAAAAATGTTAAGGTTTTTTCTTACCATTATATAATACATAACCTAACTTTACCTTCACAGCTAGTCATTACAATTTGTAGTACGGTGTCCTTAGTACGCAAATTGATTAATTTTTACCTTCGTGAACCCATAAATGAAATCCGCACCACTTTTTGCCAGCGGCTCGATAGATTCTTTTGTTACTAACAGCAAGATTTAATTTTGAATTTATTTTCTATTGACCACTACCAGTCTGGCTCCAATGTATACTTCCCCAAGTTAGGCTCTAACGACTTTGTAAAGCTGAACCGATCTCTCGTCATCACAGCCCCTGCGCACGGCCGGCAGCTGTGCATGACGGTGGAGAACCCGGACTGCTTATACCCACTTCCATTCGGCTCCAGGAACTTTTTTTATTCGGAATCAACCAACTCTAGGACGCCAATCATAATGCAGTTCCGGGCCACATCAGCAAATGAGTTTACGGGTGTTATACCCATTGTTTTCGGTCTTTTGCGCTTTCAATGGAATCCTGAAACTCCATTAAAGCTTACCAATGGATGACGATAGCAGTTATACCCTTCGGAGCAGGTAGGCAGAAAACTTATTTTTGCCATATCTTTTCCCTGCATGCTTTGTAGCCTGATATTTGTTGAAAGGCTTGGTTCTGGCTGGCGCTGGTGCTGTTGCTTTTCTGGAGTTAAGTTTAGCTGCAGCTACAGTGCTAGTAGACGGCCCTTGCACCTTTGCACCTTTGTAATGGTTACCTTCGATATCGTTAAAAACTGGGCCCTGTTTACGGCGTAACTACTTTTTTCAGGCTTTTTTTTAGGACAGTCGGACTCCTTTGGTGTTTTATAAGTATTGGCTTGGGTTATATTTTAGACCCACGATTGTATGGGAAAGCAGACTTGCGCATAGACCCCCCTACGCTTTTAAGGCTATCATAATACGGAGGGCGCCAAGTATCCGCATGCTCGTTCGAGACTGGGCTATTTAAGGGCCCCCAGCCAGGCTGATCCAGGCGGGTCGCGTGACACCTTGATCTCCTACCATGATAAGGTTTCATATCTGAATTTAAAGAGCAACGAACACCTAACTACAATTTAAGATTTCTATGATTGATACATTAATGAAATTAGGTGGAGACAGTCTAAAATAATGTGATTTAACGCTGAATATGATTGAAATTGGTCAGGGCTTTGGTCTAAATACTATATTCCTAATATCATGATTGCCCATCCTCTCGTTGACTTAATTGGTCAAAAATATACTGTATACAAAATACGTGTTAATTGGTTAATTGGTTTCCCCGCATAATTGGTTAAAAATATGTGTTATTGAAAAAAAGAGAGAGGTATCTCTCACACATTCACTAATATACCATATAAGGTGTAAAGCCAAACGGATGATATTGGAAAGAAATTCGCTGTAAATTGAATTAAGATAACTCACATATTGATCAATATATATGGAACTAAGTCAACCGGAAGTTCGAAAAAATATTAATATTAGGTCTGAAAAGTGAAAGAATGAAAGGTGCCATACATGTGAAATGTAATGCTTCCGATTACCCCTACCTACAATACTGTCCTCCCGATTTGAACAAGGAACACTTGTACAAAGTTTCATGACGATATCTCAATTTTTACTCAAGTTACAGCTTGCATAGACAGACGGGCGGACGAATAGATAGACACCCGGATTTCAACCCATCTCCTCATCCTGATCATTTATATGTACATATATACACATGTATATAACCGTTAGTTGAACAAAACTATTATACTTTATAGCAAAAAATTCGCAAGTCTGCACAGAGTGTATAAATTTCTGGTAATTCTTTTATTTAACTTTTGATCCATAATAATAAGCATACATTATTGAATATTCTCTATGCACAATATTATCTATCTTCTACAAAGTGTGTATTCAGTAATTATTCTTACCAATTAAATTATTTAAAACTAATTTACTACCTATTTTTAAAAATTCAAGCAATATAAAAAGTAATGAAATTGTTTATTATTGGAACAGAGTTTTTAAACTCTTACATACATTAATTATAGTATAGTATTACAACTTTTCGCCGCTCAGATTCAGAATATTATAGTAGTTGTGATCAGGAAAACGTTCCAGTTCAATATAATACACCTCAGTATGTAGTAGTTTATCTGGCATTTGGAGCAATTTTACAAAAGTAGGGCGCTCATTGGGATCGCCTGCCCAGCAGTAATATAATATATTATGATATATAGCTCACGTCGGCAACGTTCAGGTTTTACAAGACGGTATCCATCGCGTACCTAAAAAAACACCGAAGTTAATTATATCTTATTACCATTATATGAAGGAAAGTGTGGTTATCATTTCCTGTTCAGATTTGAAAAAATGTTAAATATTCAGGAAACGTTTTTTAAACATTATACAATAATACAATTTCTACACTCTATATCTTTACCATAATATTTGTAACAACTACTCTCACCTCTCAGAACATAAAACTGTTAGAAGTTCTCTAACATTTGAAGAAAAAGTAAAATATATCATCTCATGACTTCTGTATTAAATTTTCTTTCTTGTTGATGATGGACAGAACAAATTTATTTGGTACCATTTTATAAATCAATAATGTGTAAATCACTTCATGCATAGACTTTCAGTAAAAAATATTTTTTCAGATTATACCGGAATATATGAATATAGGAATAGCAAGACTTTACGGTTAATAAGAAGGCAGAAACATCTCATTCAAACATTTATTTATCGATCTAACTAATAAAATGGCGGTTCTTCTGATATCAGCAGACTATCTTGATTAAGTTTTTGAACATGCAATATAAAATCCCTCACTCTCAAGTTTTGGAACTTGGAAGTGAGCTTTTCGAGCTTTGGTGACAACCGAATGCGTCGATAAAGTCTGGTAATCCAATTTGTTGGCTAATTCTGCTTTTAGGGACAATGTAGCTTGTCCTGAAATTATTGCTAAAGCACTAAACGAACTTTCGCCACATGAAATCGAAAAGGGACTTTGGGAAAACTCTTCCCAATTTCCGAGCATTGAAGGAATTAAATAAGTTGTATGAATAGTAAACGTTTTTCCAAATTTTTTTTGCTTAGTTGAGTTCATATATCAAGGAACTGCCAAAGAAATGAGAACGATTTCATCTGAATTAAATTCTTTTTACTACGATTTTCAGTCAATTCTTCATCTAGGTTATTTTCTTGTTTTCTGTTTTTTTTGTGCTCATGGTAAAATCGTCCGACACGCTCTATTATTCTCTGCAAAAATTTTGCATTCATTATGAATTGCTGTCCACTGGTCGCTCAGAAATTGCAAATCCACAAGAAGGCTTTCTATATTCCTAATTTCAGCGTCGATGGTGGCATTGACCTCTTGAGAACCAATTTTCTTCATTGATTGACTGAAATATTTTGGAGGCCATCAAAACGCACTCAAATATGCCCATATACAATATTTCAAAATTCCATCAACGTCTCGACGATATTCTGCTGTAACTTTTTCTAAAGCTTTTATCAACCCGGAAAAGCTTTTCGCAAATGGCTTGACGGCATCGATTCTGGCAGACCACCTTGTATTAGAAAGACAGTGGAGTGAATTGGGTATTTTGGATTTCAGAATTTCGTAACGTGTGAATATCGAAACATTTTTAAACGACCAAACAAAATTATTGTTCGAAGACAGCATTCAGCCGAGTCGACTCCAGCCATATCGGCGTGTGGGCACCACAGCGCTCAATTACAGCCGTAATCGTAGCCCTGTCTACGGCAAGTTTTACAAATAAAGCGGCAATACCTTTGCCGGTTTATTCGTGACAATAAAAAGCGAAAAAACGTTCCTTTATCGAACAATCTCAAGGTTTAAATAAATGTTCGAATTAATTACCTATCAAAAGCATTATAATTTTTAGATATTCATTTCGTTTTATGGATAATACGGTCCCTTCGAAAACTCAGGCCCGGTGGGAATCACTCCAGCTCAAAAATATATGCTCACGTAATATCATTTATTTACTTCACATATTGAACAATATTCAAAAATTGTATAGTATCAACCGGGATAACAAGCATGGTGACAATGGGTAATTTGGATTAGTGGACTTTATTAACTAATATATGTAGTATTGATTGAAATACCCGACTCTAATTAATTATAGAAGCAATATCTCACTAGGTATCTCACTGCAATTGACACTGTGGTAATTGGTTCATCAGCTTTTAGGCATATACGATAGAAGTAATATGTAAAACTATAGCTTTGTATCTTACCTGTTAGTAGCTGCTAGCTATCAGAAGAAGAAGATTGTAAGTTACTCTCACAAAGAGCGAAAACGAAAAAAACGGAAAACTAGTAAAAACTAACAAGAAAATATCAAAATGTTGTTTTTCACAATTACTTCATAATAACACTTAATCAATGAATTTTTATTTTCATAATTCAAACCAATGAAAACAAGAAAAACGTTAACTTCGGTTGCGCCGAAGCTATAATACCCTTCACAAATACAAAAGCCCCTTACAGAACTTGATTCCGAACGTTCAATTTGTATGGCAGCTATATGATATGTGATCTGATCTGACCAATTTCTGCGGAGAATAATTTGTTGCCTTAAGCAAGAACTCGTGTCTAATTTCGTGAAGATACCTCGTCAAATAATTTTCCATGCAAGCACTTACTCCGATCGTTCAGTTAATATGGCAGCTACATGTCATAGTCATCCGATCTATACAATTTCTTCGGCGATTAGATTATTGCCTAAATAATAATCCATGCCGAATTTCGTGAAGATTCCTCGTCAAATGAAAGAGTTTTCCACGCAAGCACTTGATTCCGATTGTTTCAGTTTGTATGGCAGCTATTAGCTATAGTCACCCGATCTGAATAATTTCCTCGGAGATTAAATTGTTGCCCTAAATAATAATCCACGCCAAATTTCGTGAAGATTGCAAATGAAAGAGTTGTCCATACAAGCACTTGTTTGCGATTGTTCAGTTTTGTATGGCAGCTATACGCTATAGTGTTCCGATCTATACAATTTCTTCGGGGATTGGATTTTGCCTCAAATAATAATCCGTGCCAAATTTCGTGAAGATACTTGACAAATGAAAGAGTTCCCATACAAACACTTGATTCCGATTGTTCAGTTTGTATAGCAGCTATATGCTATAGTGGTCCGAAATAGGTCGTCCGACATCGGTCGTCCGACAAATAAGCAGCTTTCTTTGGGAAGAAAAGGACAGGTGAAAATTTCAGATCGATAGCTTAAAAACTGAGGGACTAGTTTGTATTATACAGACAGACGGACAGACAGACAGACGGACATGGCTAAATCAACTCAGCTCATCATGCTCATCATTTATATATATATATTTATAGGGTCTCGACGTTTCCTTTTGGGTGTTACAAACTTCGTGGCAAACTTAATATACCCTGTTCAGGTTATAAAAATTTTCCATGAAGCACTTTACTCCGATCGTTCAGTTAATATGGCAGCTATATGCTATAGTCATCCGCTCTATACAATTTCTTCGGAGATTAGATTAATGTTAATAATAATACATGCCATATTTCGTGAAGATACCTCGTCAAATGAAAGAGTTTTCCAGACAAGCACTTCATTCCGATTGTTCAGTTTGTATGGCAGCTATATGCTATAGTCATCCGCTCTATACAATTTCTTCGGAGATTAGATTAATGCCCTAAATAATAGTCCATGCCAAATTTCGTGAAGATACCTCGTCAATGAAGAGTTTCCCATACAACACTTGATTCCGATTGTTCAGCTTGTATGGGAACTATATGCTATAGTCTTCGATCTGAATAATTTCTTCGGAGATTAACTTGTTGTCTCAATAATAATACACGCCAAATTTCATGAAGATACCTCGTCAAATGAAAGAGTTTTCCATACAACCACTTCATTCCGATTGTTCAGTTTGTATGGCAGCTATATGCTATAGTCATTCGCTCTATACAATTTCTTCGGAGATTAGATTAATGCCTTAAATAATAATCCATGCCAAATTTCGTGAAGATACCTCGTCAAACGAAAGAGTTTCCCATACAAACACTTGATTCCGATTGTTCAGTTTTATGCAGCTATATGCTATAGTCATCCGCTCTATAAATTTCTTCGGAGATTAGATTATCATTAAGTAATAATACTGCCAAATTTCGTGAAGATACCTCGTCAAAGAAAGAGTTTTCCATATAAGCACTTCTCTTCCGATTGTCAGTTTGTATGGCAGCTATATGCTACAGTCATCCGCTCTATAACAATTTCTTCGGAGATTAGATTAATGCTTAAATAATAATCATGCAAATTCGTGAAGATACCTCGTCAATGAAAGAGTTTCCCATACAAACACTTGATTCGATTGTTCAGCTTGTATGGGAACTATATGCTATAGTCTATTCGATCTGAATAATTTCTTGCGGAGATTACATTGTTGTCTCAAATAATAATACACGCCAAATTTCATGAAGATACCTAGTCAAATGAAAGAGTTTTCCATACAACCACTTGATTACGATTGTTCAGTTTGTATGGCAGCTATATGCTATAGTGGTCCGATATCGGCCGTTCCTACAAATGAGCTGCTTCTTTATTAGAAAAGGACAGGTGCAAATTTCAGATCGATAGCATAAAAACTGAGGGACTAGTTTATATATACGACAGACGGACATCAACTTAGCTCATCAAGCTGATCGTTTATGTATATATTTTATAGGGTCTCTGACGTTTCTTTCTGGGTGTTACAAACTTCGGGCAAACTTAATATATCCCTGTTCAGGGTATAATTAACAAATCAATGCAAATGCGTCAATATTGCATGTGCTTTAAGGGGCTGTTTTCATATTGCAGTAGCTATTTTCTGCTAGTAGATTTTACTAGCAGCTCTCTCAGCTTTTTACGATCTCAACTTGTGCTCTCTTTCTGCTAGTTTCTGTATTTTTTTTTGGGTTAAGAACCGCTTTTCCAGCAAAAGCTTTGCTACTAATAGCTATCAGATAAGGAATAAACTCTATTTTCAAAAATTCCAGCATATCGAGCGTATGCTTCCTTAAACTATACAAAAGTTTGTAACGCCCAAAAGCTAATGTCAAAACACCGAGTACGAGGTGGGTTCAAAAGCAAAGATGAATTTTGAATGTTTTGTACTTATTTCATCAGTATACATTTGTCCTTCAAAGTAATCCTCTCGGATATAATAACTGTGCCAACGCTTTTTCAATCCTCGAAGCACTTCTTGAAATGCCTTTTGTATGGCCATCAGTTCTTTCTTCGATTCTGACTTGATCTCATCAATTGCAAAACGCTATCCTTTCGTTGGTTTCTTCAGTTTTGGGACTAGGAAAAGTCGAAGGGAGCCAAATCTGGTAAATAAGATGGTTGAGGCATGATTAAGGTTTTGTTTTTGGACAAAAAATCATGATTAGTGTGAGCTGGTGCGTTATCGTGATGCAGAATCCCCGATTTGTTTTTCCACAGTTCCGATCGAGCTGTATTGCTTGCATTATATTCTTGTAGTATTCTTTATTAACTGAACAACCTTTTGGCAGGAATGGAATTTAACACATATTCAAGATTCCAAAATCGGAGAGCACACATAAACGTGACTAACCTTTTCTTGTTTCAAAGCAAACTATTAATCGAAATTGCTCTTAATGCAAGCACATGATAAACATATGTGTCCGATTATGACATAAACCAAATATACAATACATCAATGTACACATAAAATTAACCTTTCCTTTGACACACTTTGTATATCATACATTTTCTATATCGAAAACATTATACCAAATATAATTTGTAAAGAGCGATTTCTGCTATCGCTTTTAATTGGAGTATCTATACCTTACGCATGACACCTGCCGCAGAAATGCCAGGATATGGTGTTGACCCCAATGTCACTATTTCCCACATCAAAATTCCAAAGCTCCTGTATCAGATTTTACGGAAAAATGTTGTCATAAAGGGATTCCATGGCCTCCTTCTGTGAAATAATTTTGGTAACGGTTTAATACGAATTTGGTACGCCTTTGCGCCATTTATGTAAAATATTTGTTTATTCCATATCGATTAGACCAGAGTAGATAATTTTGGAAGCAAAAGATAAAATAACAAAAATGAAAAGAGATTGTATTATTCTGGTAAACTTTCTAGAAAATGAAACAAAGTATTGAAACATGCTTTTTACAGCTGCTAGTACGAAATAACAGGTCAATGAAATAACAAAGCAACAGTCTTTATGCATTTTCTGCGACAATTTAGCATATAGTAAGTATTTTTGTATATAGTATAAGTATTTTTATCCCATCAGCATTTTCGATTGCCATTTAGTTTTTTTAAATATTTAGTCAAAATAAGGAGAAGAATTAAATAAAAAGAATAAATAAATTGAATTTGAGAGATAGAGGTAAGTCTATACCAAATTTAGTAAAAGGAAGAATTCTTTGTACAAGGTAATATTGGTTATTGAATTTTCACTTAAATTTTTAGGTTATGTGAAAAATGTGTTATTACAAAAATTGTAGATCATTCATTTCATCATCTACAACTTTGTCATTTAACTATTTTCTAAAGTCTCGTAGTTTTGCCGAAAATTGAGATAAATCGTTCTTAACTCTTAAAACTCAACCACGTTTCTCCCTTCTATTCCTGAACTCAGATCGCTCGTAATATTTTAATTTTAGTTATTTTAGCTTGCTTTTCTAATGGGTTTCAACCTACATGATTTTTTATTTCACATTTACCATTGAACTAATGAATATGATTCAACATTCATTATTCGACTAAACCGTGATGGATTACCATCATTATTGTTATCAATTTAATTATATACCATACTTAGATCATAACTCACTGTTTTTATTAATAATCATCTAAATATAAAATTACTCATTACAGAAACAAAAATTCAACAGCTAAGATTTAAAGTTACTTAATAATAAATTGTTACGATTTTATTTATTAAGAGAAAGCAATAGTCTTTTTATTTAAAAGTGAGTCATGAGTAAATCAAATGCGTAGGAATGAGAACTAAATTTTAGTTCAAAATTTTATCAGGGTTCCATATCACAGAGTATAAGTCTCACCCAAGTCGTAACAAGGGTTTTAGTAATATACTGATCTCTAAATTCTTTAAACCAGGGTTTAACAAAACTTAGAACACTCTTTGCTTTCAAAACGATGGTATCAATAATGAAGACTAAAATTAAGCTTCCGTATTAACTTCCATATCAACTTCCAAATCAACAAAGTTAAAAACTTTTTTATTACATAGGGAGAGCGGTGCACAGATCTTCGGGAAAAGCAGATCGCCTTGCATTTCCTTGTTTGCAACAGACACCTTTCATCAGTAGACCTCGGAATTTGCATTTTTTTCACATGAGACTCAAATTTTGTATTTAGACGTTAATTATTAAATATATCACATATAACAGAACGCATATCGAAAATATGCAAAATGTACCCAAAAAATATGGAAGAAATATGCAATCAAGTTTCATCGAAAAATTAAATTCTTCGTGTTAACTATATAAAAGAATGTTTTTCTTGCATTAATGACAATCATTATTAATTTAACATAAAAAAATCAAAAAAATTACACCAAGTTCTTTCAGAAAGAGCTAATTAATTCAATAAATTTGCCAAACCATTCAATTCAATAAATATCAGTGGCGAAACAACGCACAAAATAGGCGATATGTCGCAATTTGATTGTCAGAACATTGAGCGAGAATTAATCTTCATGCTCTTTATATTGTCATGTAAAGGTGGTAGAGAAATAATGCAACTGTTTCGCGATTGGTCAACGACTGTGACAAATATTAGGCCAAACGGGAATGAATCAAAGGTGTTGTTGCTTTAACGGATGCTGCGGCATTATGATCAAAGCAGGTGGAAATTGAAGTTTTTATCCGAATCTCATACACATAAATTGTTTGGCGCACGGTTTAAATTTAATAGCTGAAAAGTTAGAACATCCTGTCGTTAGCTCGTTCAATAAAAATACTTTGGTAAAGCTCCGCTCAGAGTACACCGCTACAACAAAAAACAATTAAAGAATTACCCCAGAACCGATCATAACAGATGAGGTACCAGGTTGAAGGCGGCATCTTGGACGGAATAAGAGGTAAGATATCAAAAACAATATTTGAATATATTGTAACAACGTTTAAAAAAATGGGTCATCGGTCAATTTACTATTTCAAAAATCATATATTTAACAAGCGTTTTCTGTCTGTGGTGTAGGATTCACTCACTTTTGGTTCTCCTTGATAAAATGGACATTCGATAATCCATTAATTTTGGACAACAACGATATGCATGTACTTAAGTTTTGTAAATAAAACAAGTAAAAAAGGGCTAAGTTAAGGTGTAACCAAACATTTTATGTTTTTGCAAATAATCAGAGAAAAATTGGTTTTTGCCTAACGATGCATCTCTGTGCCTAAAATGGATAAAATCGGTCGAAAATTTGCCTTAGCCTCCGAATACCGTATATAAGGATTTTCAAACATTTAGTTGACTTTACTCCCTGTATATTGTTTATGGTTTGTGACGTACCTTAATAAAAGTCAGAGAGCGTCTGTTTCTATTAATAATATATAGTAATGCCAAAAATAGATCAAATCGGGTCAATACTAAACCTATCTCATATATACCTACTACAAGATTTTCAAACTTCCGGATGTATAATACTACATATAATAATTTCCGTTATTCTAACAAACCTTATTATATTAATAGCTTAGCGCTGAACATGAATGGAGTTGGTCTAGACTTTGGTCTTAATTTCATATCCCTAATATCTTCACTTCCGTTGGGATAAGAAGATACCCATTGAAGAAGGCTTCGAAGAAGTCGATAGTTTTACTTTATCGAAAGCTTTGTTAAAGTCAGTGTATATAATATCCGCATGCTAATATTCCCAAAAACCGAATGGTACACGGTTCACTAATTCAAGCAAATTTGTTAGAGTAGATTACCTTTACGAAATTCATGCTGAAAACAGGAAACTAATGAATCAATCGAAAAAATTATTTGTGTGAATGAAAAAATTTGACACGTTAAGTTTTCTTGTGACATCAAAACATATATTTTTATAAAGAGTATAAACTTCAGCTAAATATAGAGAAATTATAGAAATTAACCTTTGACATTACTCAGGTGTACTCGAGAACATATTTCCAAGCAACTTTATAAACAAATAACTCACACCCTGACCGACAGATTAAGCATACGGTTTGTTAGAATAACGAAAATCATTATACATATGTGATATAATATAACTTCATTTATTTTCGGCATTGAACTATTGTACAATATATTCAATATTATACCCTCAGTTAATTTTTCGTAGATATCTTACATATTGATATTTACTGTATAAAGCCAATCGGAAGTTTAAAAATCTTCTATAAGGTTTCCAATTTTACAGTAAGGTACCTCACATACCATCACCAATCCATAGGGAGTAAAAAGAAAAAGATTCTATCCATTTTAGGCACAAGGAAACAATGTTATTACAAAAACACGCGCACTCAATTTTATTATAATACTCACTTATTGGCCAATATATGCAGTATAAAGTAAGCCGGAAGCTCGAAAATCTTGGAGGCTAAGGGAAGTTTTGATCCTATTCAATTCCATTTTTGATATAAATACATTAAGAGCAGAAATTTTACGGAAATTGTAAATATAACGAAACATTTTTAATCGTCATCAATATTTATTTTGTGGCTTTCAAAATATACTCTTTCTGAAGCGATACACATATGCTACCTCTTTTACCAATCATCGAAACATGCCATGTAGGCGCCGTCCGGGATCGCCTTCAGTTCCCTCATCGATATTCTTACAGGCCTCAATCGAGACGAAAGGGTGTGGTAACTTGAGTTTTGGAAACAAAAAAAAAGTTGTATGCGGACAAATTCGGTGAGTACGGTGGTTGATCGATGGTATTGAACGAGGTTTTGGTCTTAAAATCGTTCGCCTTTTTGCAAAAAATTCAGCTCCTCTGGAACAAACCGAGCATTAGCGAGTCTCATTGAGCTTCACGGTACTATCTCTCTTACACTCGCGTGACGATTTGCGAGCACGATTTCCTTTACTTTTTTGTTGTTATCGTCAGTGGGAAGGACGACCGGAACGAGGCATGTTTTCGACGGTTTCTCGACCATCCCTTAGGGCTTTGTACCAGTCGTAGACTTAGGTTTTCGATTGAATAAATTCACCAAGAGCCTTTTCTAACAGGCGAAATAACGTGCCGTGATTGGTTTAGTGGCTTCAAAGACGGCAATTTTGATATCAGCGACGATCCGTGTGAAGGAAGGTCAAAAACCTTCGAAGACGGTGAAGAGCTTGCTTGAACATTGATTATCACCCGCCAAGTCATTTTAAAGCGACAACACGCGCTGAAGAAAAAAACAAATAAAAAGTGATTATACATGACAACGCTCGGCCTCACTTTGCCCAACCCGTTAAAACCTATCTGAAAACGCTTAAATCGAAAGTAGTACCCCACCCGCAATATTCCTCAGATATTGCACCGTCTGGTGATTTCACTTATTTTTTCACCTTGGGTGCGGTGTTATACTCACTTGCACTATTGCACTACTTTTAGTCAAAAAAATTTTTAATTAATTTTTAAACTCTTTACTTAATTTCACGTTAATATATATTTTGAAAATACTTTATAATATAACAAGTGCACTTATATTTTTTTGTAAATAATTTATAATATAACAAGTTCACTTTCACTTTTTTTTATGCGACGAAAACCACTCTGCAGGAACGTTTTAATGTCGATACTTATAGGTCACGGATGAAATTGAAACGAGAGACCATCCCGGTCTGACTGGTCTCTTTTGATCACTCGGGTGGTGGAAAAGACGGTGATTGAAGTGTGGGTGTATAGTGTGGTTGGTTAATTGTA